CTCACCTCCAGACGCCGGCTCGGGGGCCCAGGCCCCTGCCGTAGTTTTGCTCTCCCTTCCACTGGGTCTTTGGAGGCTGGTCATCATTGTTTAGCCATAGCTGGGGAAAAAGAACATGGGAAATTTTTTGGAAGTGAAGTCATCACTTTTGTCCATTTTCAGTTTGTCAGAATGGAGTCACATGGCCTGCCTATCTGCCAGGGAGATGGAAAATGTTGGTTAGCCATGTGCCCAGCTATATTTCTATGCCACTAAGTAGGCTGTGCCTGGGCTTGTGCCTCATGGCCTTTGGCAACACACCAAAGGCAGCATTAACGTGATGCCGCAGACCTGAATTCAGGTCTTGCGCCTGAACGTCACTGTGGAGCTGCCCTGGTCTCTTCACCCGCTCCCTCCTGCTGTCTCCAGCTCTGACTTTGAGTCTGTGTCCTTTGTTCCCAGCCTTCAGGACCAACCAGTGCCTTGCCCATAGTGGATTCTCAATAAACATTTGTTGAGTTAATGAGTTAATAAAGGAACATACCAAAACCACCGCCCATAGCACAAGCAGTGATAAGAGGAGGTACTAGTGAGTCCGGCTAAACCTGAAGCCAGAGGAGTTCTTGGGAAAAACAGCTGTCCGTCCCAGCAGCAGTGTTGCTGTGCCTCTGGGCACCCAGGTGCATGAATTCATTCAGTGAGTGTTCTATGACACACTGGACCCTATAGGTTCTGGGGCCACCAAGATGAGTAAAACAGCTTCTTCCCTTTGAAGGGCCCCAGACAAATCGGGGAGAGACACCTGAACAAATACGAAATGTGAAAGTAGCAGTTAATCTGGTTGGAAGAGTTGGGAAGGCTCCAAGGAGGAGGTGACGTTAAACCAGGGCTTACAGGATGAGGAGGAGTTTGCCAAATGACAAAAGAGGGGATTGGGAATTCCAGGCAGAGGAAAAAATAAGTTCAAAAGTATGAAATAAATTTCCCACTCCTTTATAGCTTATAAGAGGATGAGCCCTGGAGTCAGGGCTCTCAATTTTGTCATGCTGGGGACAGACCTACTCACCCTTTCCTCTCAGCATTCCAGTCTAGTCTCCTTTCCAAATCCACGCTTTGGATTAACTGCTCAGGGTTGGCTAAATCACAAAGTTTACTATTTTTAAATACCACTACACCCTCTTCTCTCCTTTCTGCCTACTTTGTCCTGGAGCAGTGGTGAAAAAAGGGTTTTATCTTAACCTGCCAAGTCTGATTACAGCTAGTGGGGCTCTGTGCTATGAGAGGACTGTGAGGCTGGGCTCAGGCATGGTGGCAAAGAGGACTGAGATGGGTTAGTGACATCTGTCTTGGACATAGGAGGGGAAAGTGGCTGTGATCGCCACTCATTTGCCCTCCTTGGGGTTGCATGTTGCCCAGGCATCAGGGCAGACTAGAATGCCCAGAGGCCTCTTTTGCATTCTAGAGCAGGGATTAGAGTCTATGACTTCCAGGCCAAACTGGATTCACCACCTAGTTTTGTAATGGCCCACAAGCAAAGAATATCTTTTACATGTTTAAGTGATTGAAAAAAATCAAAAGAATAATAATATTGCATGCCATGAGAAGTATATGAAATTCAAGTTTCAATTCAAATTTAGATTTTGGTGTTTATAAATCACGTTTAATTGGAACACAGCCACATCCACTCACATGTTATCTATGGCCGCTCTTACACTACAGTGGCCAAGTTGAGTTGCAACAGAGACAGTAAATAGCCAAAACTATTTACTGTCTGGCCTGTTGTTGAAAAGGTTTTCCAACACGTGCTCTGGACAATTATGGTGACCAGAAGGAGATGGTGCTCTAATGAGTGCTGTTCTTTCTAGCCCAGGAGCCTCAAGAACAAATATCAAGTAGATGTGCTTTAAGGTAGATTGTCAAATAGATAGTAAACAGGACTTTCTACAAGATGAAATTTGTTTGTAAAAAATGAAAAGTTGCAAGTCAGGGTTCCTACAAGGTCATTGCCTTGTATAGGCCATTATTCCTCAAGTTAAATTAGAACTTAAATTGGCATGTCTGTGGCCAGGCCACAATACCCCTCAGACCTTTTACTTCACAATAAATACTTCAAGAATTGTCCTAGAAGAGTGGGAGTTTTGAAACTGGGTTCCATGCATCCCTAAGGACCCAAGTGGGAGCTGCAGGGTGGCAGTGTTGTACTGGTAAATGTTTAACACTTTCCAGGGGAAAGTAGCATTTGCCAATTCCTGCAGTGTCAATACTCTCAGCCTGGCCTGTTTCAAGCTGCCATTATGAAGTTATTGGACGCGATTTGGGAGAAGATGTGCACATAGGCTGTGTGAGCCCCTGTCAGCAAGCTGCAGCCTTCTGCAGGGAGGCCTGTGGGGCTGGGTGTCTGGTCCTAGTGGGCGAGGCCCCAGACTCAGTGCCCCACCCCTATTTCCAACAGCTTCTACTCTACAATCTTTTACATCTGAGTTCATTTGGGTTCCAGCTAAGATTTCATTTGACTGCTGAGTTCTGTAGCTAAGTATAGTATGGAAAAACCCCCACACCTAACAAATTAGAACTCATGACCCCTTACACACACATGCACACACACACCCCCACCCTCACCACTACTACTACTACTATCCAGCACATAACTGGTCCTGGCTCCCTGTTCCTGCGAAACAAAGCTGATGTTCTTTAGCAAATCGTGCAGTGTCAACAGGAATCCCACTCACCTTCCCACTTTCCTCCCNCCCCACCCCACCCCCACCACTACTACTACTACTATCCAGCACATAACTGGTCCTGGCTCCCTGTTCCTGCGAAACAAAGCTGATGTTCTTTAGCAAATCGTGCAGTGTCAACAGGAATCCCACTCACCTTCCCACTTTCCTCCCAACTTCCCATGCAGTTGCAGCAACAGTTAACTGTGGGCATTCACTGCGGGCCAGGCGCTCTGCTGAGCACTTCAGATGCGTTGGCATGTCTCAAATCCTGAAACAACTCCTCGAGGAAGGCATGGTCATTATCCCCACTTTATAGATGAGCAAACTGAGGCCACCCCTAGTGGCCCTGGAACTTTTCCCCATTGCCACACACCTCATGAACTTCCATGAGTCCCAGCACGGCTCATGCCATTTCTCAGCCTCAGGGGCCCATCTCTGACAGTCTCCATGTGTCCTGAGCCTAGCACAGGGCCTGGTGTTTGGTAGACATTGTGTCAGCGGTTGACACGGGAGAGAATGGAGAAGGGAATGTATTTCATCACGAACATGGCAAGATAAAAAAATTCAAGAAATAGTGGCCCATCTGCCCATCATGAAAGCAGCATCGTCTGCCACACCAGACACCTTTGGGGGGAGTTTACTTGAACTGGCTTGATCCTTTCCTAAGAAAAGTAAAACCATTCTTTTTTGTAGGTATGAGAGTATCTTAAAATGGAAGAAGTGGTTACAAGTCCTTGAGGTTATTAATCATTGCCCTGTGTCTAGACTCCTGTGAACTCTTTAAGGAAATGATTTTGAAAGGCCGCCTTGCCTTCAGATGTCGGATAGAGTGTGTGTGTGTGTGTACACACTTTGTGTTTTTGGTGTCTCCCCCAGGCGTAATCATTCTCACTGGCTGGCTGCAAGGGAAGCACCTGCTCAGCATGTTCACGATTGGGGTCAGGTAAGGCGGGGAGCTTGGGGAGCAGGAACAGTGTGGGAAGATGCATTCTCCTCGCCCCAGGCCACAGTCTCCCAATAGCACACTGTCTGACAGGTGGGGGTGCCCGGGCACAGCTTGCAAAACAAATGACAGCATACGATCTGGAGTTTCCATTCATGTCACTTTTTTGCCCCTGGGTTTGGATCTTTCTGGCTAATGGTGTGGACTCCAGAGCCAGCCTACCTAGGGTTAAATTCTGGCTTTACCACTTGCTAGCTGTGTGACCTTAGGCAAACTTCTGCATTTTTTTCATTGTTGTTATTAATCCTCACCAGAGGATACTTTCTCCATTGATCTTTAGAGAGAGTGGGAGAGAGGTGGGGGGG